CCCTCCCTCCCTCCACTCCCTGGGAAGCCAGTGCCCTTCCTAGAAGTACGCCTGACCTCAGCCCTTGCTCAGAACGCTCCTGTGCTCCCAAAGGCCCTCGTGTTGGAGTCAGTGCCAGAGGCAGGGTGCTCAGAACCGTGTCTGTCCCACTGCAGCGCCACCACCCTGCAGGGCCGACGAAGGGCCAGATCATCCGAACATGGCTGGGTACCCTCTCAGAACCCCGGGCACCAAAGTTCTCACCCTCAGTGCTATCTTCCTTGGAGAAGCTCCCAAACCAGGGTGCGAACAGAGTGCACCGTCCAGAGAGTGTGACGTGACAAGCAGAACATATGCTGAACCGTCACCTCCCTTGTTCTGAACCCTCTGCCTTTGCTAATGCAGCCTCCATGAGCATGTGGGTTATGGAAAGGCTAGCAGTGGGCTCCCCTGTGCTCGAGTCAGGCCCCCATGGTACTCACATATTGGATTCTTCTTTTTTTAACTGAAAAGGCTTTTACCCTTTTTGATTTCAACAAGTGGTTTCAGTGTAACAGTTCAGCATGAGAATTTGCCAGTGGGCAGTTCTCTCTGAGCTTTGGGCACCAGCAAGTTAAACAGCAAGGCAGACCCAGCCACTGACTCAACACGGGATAGGACAGAGGCCTGTGGCTCACTGTCCCCGACCTTCAGGGAACATAGAACTTCTTAAATACGGAGCTCCCTATGACACGTCCTTGTGTAGACCCCTCACTGCCTTATCAAGGTGATGAACACACTCCTCACCCAGCTGCAAAGCCCTGTACCTCTGGCCCTTGCCAGCCTTCCACCTGCACAGCCCCGTCTAGCAAGCATGCCGCTCCAGCCTCCCTTCTGCTCCTCCAATGGAGCAGGCCCTTTGGTCCCAGAACCTTTGCACTGTTGCCCCTTTATCTGCCTGGAATGTCGTTCCCCCCTCTTGCCTAGTGGACCCTTAGCCACCCTCTGGATGATAGCTCAGAGGTGTCCCCACTGGGCAGCCTTCCCTGTCCAGACAGCCCTAGCATGGGCAGGATCAACTCAAAGTCAGTGTAGACCTCTCCTCGCATCTCCAGGCCAAGCTGTCAGTGTGCAAGCAAGTGTGAGGGTCTGGGGGTCATGAGCTCCGTGAGGCCAGGGACTGGGCCGGCACCGGAGCTGCCACCCTATCCCCCCAGGGCTGGGCCCCGGGAGCTGGGGGCTGTGAGTGCCCTGAGGCCAGGGACCGGGCATGAGCGGGAGTCGCCTCTATCCCCCAAAAACACCCGGGAGCCCCTCAATAACTATGGGTAGGAGTGAGCAGACGGTGCAGAGTGACCCATTAGCCCCTCTGAGCTCAGCTATGAGGAGTTAGCCACAGCCAGGACTTGGAAGTGCTCTCTGATAGACAAGGAACCAGTGGTCCAGAGGTCAAGAATCCTGGCCCAGGCTACATAGCCACTCTGAGGCAGCCCGGACTCTAGGGCTGCTCTCCAGAGCCGCACAATGTCTCTGAGGCTCTGACAGGTGGAGCAGTGGGTCAAAAGTCATAGAGGCAGGGGACCAGCAGTTAGCATAATGGCTATGTCGCTGGACTCCCGTGTAGTCAACCGCGATTCAGATCCGGTGCTTTAAACTCACGCCAGGCGCGTGTGCTTGCGTGTCCAAGATCCCGAGAGGAGAATGGAGGAGAAGGGATTGCGGCGTGGCCATCCCCCTGGGGGTGATTTCTCGCTTTCTGTCTCTGTCTTTCTCTGTCTTGCGAGCGCACGTGCCTATAGCGAAAATCTCTCCAAAAAAAAAAAAAAAGTCATAGAGGCAGGAGTGCGCCGGCACTGACCAGGAGGCCTCTGATCCCTGCGTCCCCACAAGTCCTGTTCTGTGGCCGAGGGCGGGTGCAGCCCATGCAGGCAGCGTGGGGACACCACCCGCCTGGCAGCTGTGCCCACCAGCAAGCCGGCTGTCCCCGCAAGGCTGTGGTCTTGCCCCCACTCTGGCCTCTGCTTCCTCCCAGGACTGGGCCCAGCCTCACCTTCTGCCCCGGAAGAAGACGTACTCGAAGGGCAGCGTACAGGGCAGCAGCAGGTACGTCAGCGTCCACCCGAGCCCTGACCGGCAGAAGCGGGCCCAGGCGCTGGGGTCTCTGGTGCAAGCCTTCCTCAGCGCTGCAGGAGAAGCAGGCTCAGTCCTGCCCACCTGGGGTCTGCCCACCTCT